GCTAAGATTGTGCAACTCGAATTCTTTGCAAGAAATTACAGATATCATGAAGAAAATTAAATTTACGAATGTAATTTTCGTCTAAAATTCATAGTTTATTGGGAGTAAAGAGAAACTTGTTTGGATGATCAGTTTCTACTTGCAAGGGGAAAAATGTTGCAAATCTTAGCGACATTGGAATGCCTGTAATTCCTTTTTGCAAAATGCAATCCACATGTTTCTTAACAACAATGTCAGGCAAAACGCGATTTTCCGCAACGAAATTTACTGAAGCTGACTTGGAACTAAGCTATTTATTTTTTCGATGCGTCGAATTAAAACCTCGTGCTCTTGGAAAACAAAGTCTGCTTCAAAAAATCACGCATTCAAAGTTGCCGTTACAGTCTCTTGGGCGGATCGATAAAGTAGTCTGCTAAAATTGGATTACATTTTGCAATAAGGAACCACTATTTCTGGCCCATTTTAGAAACAACATACATGCCATCGGTTTCCCTATGGGTTATAGGACATTTCGTTAACGATTTTTTGTCCGCGGACCTGTTTTTTCCAGTGATTGTCCACGCGTTTTTTCGGCACGGGGGTTTTGGTTCACGTGCCAATTGAGACCCAAAGTTGATTGGCTCACATGTAAATACAAACGACAATTGCCCATGACGTTTTTGGATGAAAATGTATAATGTCTTGGAAGAATGAGAGTTTGCTTGTTTTTTTGTTTTGTCTGTTTGGTCCAACGGAGAATAATATATAGTTGAGAGTTTTGCCAAAAATGGGGGAGCGTCAATGCCATGACACAAAATTCACTAAAACTCTCTACACCTCTTTGGTGTAACAGGATTTAATTATATTTCAAGAAATTCCCACCTTGTTATATACTTGAACTGGATAAACCTCTATATTTGCCTTAGCTGAAGGCTCTTAGATTTTTCCTGTGTACGATAAGTATCTTGATTCATTTTGCGAGGAAAGATCTGTACTTTTAAAGGATGCATGTCATTCTTAATACGTTCAATTTCGTATAATACTGTGCACACCTCTGTTGTGAAATAGTTGCTTCAAGCGCCGCCGCACAGCGGGCGGGCGGCCAGCGCGGAACGCGCATTGGCGCCTACAAACCTAAGTGGATACTTCAAGCATTGTGCAATGCGAGAAGTATCCACTTAGGTTTGTAGGCGCCAGTGAGCCTCTCGCGCTGGCAGCACGCCGCTCCGCTCTGTTAGGCTTTATTGTTTAAACTCGCATAGTCAGCGTTTTTTAACTCATGATTTTGAAATATTTACACACTCTGCATTAATTATTCTCACTTAAATTGATAGGAAAAAAATATGTATAATTTTTTCAAAAGAAAATAATAATATAATGTGTGTTTTTTTAAATATTGGTGGTTCCGTGTCTTTAATGATTTCCAAAGTGTTTCATTTTTTTGTTTTCTATTGTCAATATATATAATTTTACATACCGACTAAAATATAACGCTTGGACGAAGTCACTGTCGCTTATTTTACGTGTGGGCGGAAAACTACTGGACAAGAAAGGTGCGCGGACAAAAAATTATGGGAGAGCCTGTGACAGTGGCTCCTTATTTAAAAATGTAATCCAATTAGTGTATTGAGCGATTTGATGCAAGTAGACGATTGTTTTTCTTGTGCACGGAGAATTCAAAATTCTTGTCATCAATGAAAAGTAAAACACTTCCATATCTTAAATAGGAGTTGATTTCAGAAATTTTCGTTTTGCGGATCGTATTTTACGTGAATCTTTTTAAGAAACTTGCATCAGAATGCCTAAATTTGTACCTTGTCTACTGATCATGCATTTATCTACCTGATATCGTGCGTAACACTGGCGTAATATCGACGGTGAAACTACCAAACCACGTATCTCGGTTTGCGACGTCGCAGACTTCCTGTCATACTTTATTTTTTAAATGAAAAACTACTTAGCGTCTAGTCTTGAAAATTTCTGTGAATTTTCTTCTTTGTGCGGAGAAAATTCTGTGAAAATTTCAAGGAATGATATTGATTTGGTCCACTTCAAAAAAATAAAATGCGAGCGTAGATTTTTAAACACCGCAAACGAGATACGTGGTTTGGTAGTTTCACCGTCGATATACACCTTTCTGACCCAATTTTCTTGAGCTTGGCGCGAAGAAAGTTCGATTCTAAAAGCTCATCTTACTCAACGGAAAAATAAAGCACGGGTTTGTTGGATGATATGGGCATTTCCGATCTATTGCGGTAATGTCCATATAATCCAACAAATTGGGGTAGTGCCACAATATTAGAGGATAATCCGTTTTCACACTTTTATACATACTTAAACTCTTTTTTCAATGTCAGGAGATCGTAAATGACAGCATATAAAGGAATTCTCGAAATTCATCTGACCGACACACAATGGATCAAGTAAATAGGAGAAGTCAGACATGATTTTTTTTAAACTAAAACTGCAAGTGTAAATGTTTATTTCGTCATGTTTTAAAGTTTTAGGGCTTTCCGAAGAATTTCAAGAGAGAACCAATGGGACCACTTTTAGGACCTCCAAGTTCTGCAATGATGGAGTTATGAGCTTTCAAAGTTTCCAAAATTCTGACTTCTCCAATTGGTTCCTTCCATTGTGCGTTGCCGAATGGAAATGTTGCATGCGTGAGGAATTTGCAATTTGACTTTTGATTCTTATGTAAAAGTTGGCGAGAAACACGATGGCACCACTGATTTTCTCTCAACGAACTCCAAAGCTGTAAGAGAGCTTTCAAAGTTGAGGCTAAAATGGAGAGGATATCCCACGCTATCCTGAGAGTTCACCTCTACATAGGGAGCAAATACATTAGCAGGGTTGCCCTGTTTTCAGTTTTAGAGTCCCCAAATAATGTGGCAGCCCTGTCAATGTATTTGCTCCCTATCTTTGCATGAAGAGTTTGCCTTGATGTAGAGGTGGACTCTCAGGATAGCGTGGGATATTTCCTCCATTTTGGCCTCAACTTGAGAGCTTTTTTGAGCTTGGGAGTTGATTTCAGAGAAAACCAGTCGTACCATCGTGTTTCTCGCCAACTTTCACATAAGAATCAACTGTCAAATCGCAAATTCCTCACACAATCAACATCTCCATTTTGACTTAACTACTGCTCATGAGCTGTTGTATTAGTTCATCCCTCAACCGAGCAATGCTTTGAACTCCAATGTAGACGTATTGCATATCCTCTCGATTGGAGGAAAATCATAAATCCATGTATTATTAGCGTTAGACTGTCAAATTGTTCTCATAAGTGCTGGGCCACCTTAGGGTGATTCGTCAAGTTCAAAAAATGTGTTCGAACTGGCATGCGATAAAAAGCATCAATTAGGTCAAAAATCTCGGCAGATTTTGAATGAGTTGATTTGATTGAGTTGATTTCAAAGAAAACCAGTGGCACCATCGTGTTTCTCGCGAACTTTCACATAAGAATCAATAGTCAAATCGCAAGTTCCTCACACATGCAACATCTCCATTTTTTGGTATTGTGTGCGGTGTCTTTGGACAACATTCAAATGTCCATACGACGATTTTCTTCGATACGGAAGTGCATAAGACCCTATCAACAGGAATGTCAAAAAAAAAATCCGATATCCCGCGCGACAGATCCCCGGATGTTGTCGGAAAACGATGAAGTCCCGGAACGAAGCGAGTCAGAAATCCTTCCGGTTGGCGCAACAGCACTTATTCCTCTGTCAGCGCCAACAGGAGACAATGAGCGGATCTCGAGCAGAGCTTACCGGTGATCCAAAGACCCCCTCCTTCCCACACTGCCCATCCGACCAAAAACCGCATCCCTCCGGCCGAGAGCCTATAGACGTATGCGCTTTGGGCTCGACGGGGCAGCTCGCCAACATCCCATTCAAAGCTCTTGAACTGGGAAGCGCAGCGTATGAGCACTCACAAATAGCAATTGTCTCGACGACATAATGTCCCCCGCCTCCCTCTCGGCGCCGCC